ACAATCATTAAAGTTCTCACTGGTTGGACATGACAGCGGTTCAGATCGAAGCTACAGTATGTCTGAAGGAAAAACAACTTTGTAACCTGACTTTGCCAAAAGTTTCAGAAGTGACTGCTCAATATTATTTAGTTCTACAAGCAGCAACAGAATTATTTCTTCTAACTGTGGAAAAGCAGAGACAGAATTTTCCTTTGGTGGTGCTGCTGGAAGTCTGAAGTGAATGGGGTTACTCCAGAATGATGCTAGTGTAACTGAAATAAGAATCTGGCCCATCAGGCTTCTAAGACATGAAATATAATATTTTTCCAGGAAGGGGGAGTGATGAGCGCTCCTATTTAATTACTTAGTTGTCAGTTTTGTCAGGTTTGACAGAAGCAGGACATGTCTGAAGATATTACTTTGGTGTAAAATCTTTTCTAAATTTAGCACAGAGGCACACTCTTTATTACACTGTGTAATTCAATAAATATATACTGGTAACACTTTTGAGATTGCCCTTTGTTAAGAGTTTCTAACTTAAGGTTAGTCCCCTTCCTTGACTGACTCTTACCTCAGAATGGTATAGAACAAAAACATAGTGCTTGATATCTAGCTTACATTGTGGAGTGCAGCAAGACAAATGTATGGTTTTGCAAATTGATGCAAATGTACACGTTGTTGCACTCTTTTAAAATGCTGATGAACTTTTTACTTCATAACAGCCCTGGAGGTAGGATCAGACACTGATAATCTACACCCTTGGAAGTTAGATCTTTATAAGCAATTGTGTTAAACTAAGTAAACCATAGAGTCTATCCTCAATCCAGAGCTGCAAAATCCAGCTTGTTCCCTTGCTCCAGGCAAATAAAGTTTTTGCCAAGAATAAAGTATTGATGATTTTTTTCAAGATCATTAATCAGCTACAGAGGGGATGAATACATTTAGCCTAATCTGGTAACTTTCATAGATTCACATTCATAGAGTTTAAGGCTAGAAGGGAAAAATAGATCATCTAGCTTCACTTCCCATATACCCCAATCCTTAGATTTCACCCAGATATCCCTATGCTGAGCCCAGTACCTTGTGTTTGGCTAAAGCATATCTTCCAGAAAAGCATCTGGTCTTGATTTGAAAACATCAAGACATGGCGAATCCACTACTTCCCTGTTTGTTCCAACGCTTAATCGCCCTCACTGTTTAAAATGTATACTTTCTTTCTAATTGGAATGTTTCTGGCTTTAGCTTCCAGACACTGGTTCCTGTTACACCTTTTTCTGCTGTAGTAAAAAAACTGTTTAGTGCATTTTGAATGCACTATATGCTGTAATCGAGTCACCTCTTAATCTTCTTTTTGATAAACTAAATAGGTTGAGCTCTTTAAATCTCTCACTGTAAAGCATTTTTCTCATCCTTTGAATAAGTTTTGTGGCTCTTTTCTGCTCCCTCTCCAGTCTTCTAATACCCCTTCTAAAATGTGGACTCCAAAGCTATAGGCAATATTCTAGTATGGTATTTACCCTGCTGCATTCTGGAACATAGATCTCTGCCTATTTCATATTCTTCAGTTTATTCATCCAAGGTTTTCTCAGTCCTTTTTGCCACAGAATTGCACTGGGAGCTCAGGTTGTTAGGATTGCTTACTGTCATCCCTTGATCCTTTTCAGAGTTGCTGCTTTCCATATACATTATAAACATATGGCCTGAATTCCTAGTTTCTAATTTTGTATCCAGCTGTATTAAAATGTATTTTCTTTTACTGGCCCAGCTAACAATGCAATCCAGACTGTCCAATCCTCAACACTATTCACTATTCCACCATCCTCTGTGTTATCCACACATTTTAATAGCAATGCATTTTATATATACTTAGAAGTATTTTGGCTCTTTGATGAAAATGCTTAACAACAGTGGGCCTAGAACTGATGCTCAGGGGACCCCTTTACATACACTTCCATTTGAAGATGATTTCTTATTGATAATTATTTGCTGAGATATGTCAGTTAGCCTATTCTTAATCCAGTTAGTATGTCACTGATATTGCATATATTTTAATTGTAAGAGTATGCCAGTTCTTGTAGATTATATCAAACACTTTGAAATGTTCCAGAGATTAGGAGAAGGATCTGTCAGTCCAAACCAATACAGAAATGTTTATTTTCTTCATTTGGGATATCCTGTCCTTTCTTTTTAATTGGAGTTATGTTCGTGTAACATACAGTATAGTTACTTTTAATTATTATCACAATAATTAATGGAAAAGGTGCAATATAATTTTTATACCAATCTTAAAAATATCTGGGTGGAAAAATATTTTAAGAGGTCCTAGTCAACAGCTCAGTCTGAGGCGCACATGGCACAGATAGGGTGACTGGTGTGTTTATGATGCCAACACTCCTTCAATCACTTTTGCATTTCTTTAATACTGACTTTGCTCTGCACTGGGCTTGTGCCCCAGCACAAATTAGAGCAGCCTCTATTTGCACAAGCTGTCAACCACTCCAAACCACTATCTGGCTGCCACGCTTCCTTTCATGTGGCCATGGGCCCTACCCCAGCCAGGGATTGGGGTAGCATAAGAATCACTTTTGTGGCTCTATGCCATCCAAGGCCCTGCTGTGTTGGTATGATTCTCCTGTGGCCAGGAACTTTGGGTTTAGAGACTCTTTGTGTGAAAGCAACATGAAGCTACTCTAATTCAGCGGAGAAGCCTTTTTTTCCCCCAATGGCAATTTAACTTCCTCTGTCTCTACGTTTTATATCTCTGCTCTTTGCTGCAGTGTCCAAATGCTTTCCACATAAAATAAATAGCTATAGTGATGCTGCAAGTGAACCTCATGGTGTATCTGGTAATTAATCAGAATTAAAGCAATGAACAATATATTAAACTATGTTGCATACTAACATGATACAGTCCAGAGCATAGAGTTATGATGAACAGGGGCACTTACGCAGTTAAACAAGTAATTGGATAAACATAATTAGACATTAACTTCTAGTCTCAGATATTTGAGGAAGAAACTTATATTAATATAATCTACAAAATGCAAAAAAAGTAAAGCCACAATAACATCGAAGCTAAGGGATTTTAATAGCTCATGCTGAAAGTTGATGTATTGTACATGCTAAAAACCAAATACAGTTGACATCAAGATGACTATTTTGTCAGTATGCTGCAAAGTAACTAAGAAAATGAAATATGCATTACTATAATGAAATAACAGGGAAATGAACTTTATGAGCATTGAATATTAGGTGTTTAGTGGAAATAGATAAAGGAAAAAAAAAACCCTCTGGGGGTAAACAAAAGAAATCCAGCCAAACAGTAAACTAGCTGAAAACAGGATTTCACAGGAGTATACATATCTTGATTCTGAAAATGCATAAAATATGATACTGAAGAGGCAGTGTTGCAAAATTTGGTCCCGTAATCTGGGTATACAAATTAATAGTAATATCATGTATAAAAATAAACATTGTGTAATTACAGTGTAAATGCAGTGTAACTACTACATAATTGCAGTTTTAGCATTAGGAAGTACATACATGGACTTTGTTTCTGAAGAAGGAGCCAAAATTATATAACCAAGAAATGCAAGACAGGAAAAAATGTTTCTAATAAGCTAAGGCCTATTTTTTTAAACCCTAAGTATATATTTCAGGCATGTAAAATATGTGATAAAAATTTCCAGTAAAATTTTCTATAAAAAGTTCTAGAAAATGTTGTATCACGCACTGTCATCTGAAAATAAAGGGGTAGAAACAGGTGGAGTATCTAATTACAGACATAGTCTATTACATAGACAATATCTATTTACACTGATATCAAAAACTGCAATAACACATGAAGGGAGAAATATTCATTTAGCGTGATATGTAGGCAAATGGTGTAAATCATTGTAGTTCAAATGAATAGATAGAGCAGTGATTCTCAACCAGCGTGCCGCAACATCCTGGGATGCTATGAGATCCTTTTCAGGGTGTCGTGGCATGCTGCTCAATACAAACACTGTTATGTGTGTAAACACCTACACATAATTTATAAGATAAACTCAGAGATTACATATAGGAATCCACAGCATAAAAAATATCTGCTCTGTTGTGGGTTTTCTGAGTTCTTTCAAACAGAAGAATTGCTCTATTATTTTTCCATAGTCAAAAAAAAAAAGCAAAAGCTAAAAGCTGGCATTTTCTGAGGGGTGCCTTAAGTTTAAGGAGGATGCTTTGAGTCTAGTAAGGGGCGCCTTGAATCTAAAAAGGATGAGAAATACTGATATAGAGACATGTTAATTTACACCAGCTGGAGCTCTGACCTGCTACTTTCAAATTCTGTGGAGAAAGTCAGAAATCACCATTTTATTTTGGGGGGACATTTGAATCTGCTTTGATTTGCAACTGTTTCTTTTTGTTTATTAACATCATCAGAGACAGCTCCTTATTGGCTTCTCATTGGAAAAAAGGCCTAGATAAATAAATTATTTCATCAAAGGGTAGTGCTTTCAATTAGGTCAGAATCTGCTTGGGAAATATAGTACTGTAGCATGGGAGGATTTTCAGCACTTGATAAATGTCTTTATTTTGTGCCAAAACACATCTCCTTTTGCTATGTGCAGCCTCATATGTGGACATTAGGCAGATCAAAAGATCCATTTACTCTGGAGGGCATTGAGATTCTGCAGATTCTAGGGAATAAGTGGAGAAGATGCTCTCAGCCCTATTTGCCATGATAACTAAGGATAGTCAGGACAAATTTGATAATGGAATTTGACCATTTTCCATCAGAAGACTAATATGAAAGGACATATATATAACAGAAAATGCGGCGCTAAATTCCCCATTTGTATGTATGTTCGGTTTTCCCTATTTAATCAATGACAGACACAAGGGCAGATTTTGGCTCATTATGTATAACACTTTAAAATTAATTTAAGATGATTAATGAACAAGTCAGAAGTTGTGTAGTATTTGTGAATTCTGTGCTTCAACCATTGGTTAACTTTATATTATTTTTAAATTTACAGCTGCCATGGAAAATGACCAGAAACCTACTTTCTCGGAAAGCACATCCATCATCTTCAGGCATTCTTCCAATCCGTTAACTGTAGCTGTTACTAATGAGTGTCTCAGTCCAGAAAAACCAATTATTACAATGTTTCATGGAATGGCATCCAGATATTGAGAAAAATAAATTGTATTTGGGCAGCATTTCTTCTGATGAGGTTGTCTTTTCCTTCTGTTCTGTAAGCAGTATTATCAAACATCTCTGTGTTAATAATAAAGGTACAGCTCTTGAGCTGTTGTAAATTTATAATGCTCCATGGATGTCATGGGAGCTATGCCGGTTCACATCAGCCAAGGATTTGGCCCACAATGTTTGCAAATCACCTGTTAACCCATGTGTTTCTCTCATGTGTAAGCTTTGTGTATTTTCTTTTAACCAGGGAGGAGTTATAAGATATACATTTTTATTTCTTACAGTGTATCATGTAGAGCAGAATCTGGCATTTGGCTTTAATTTCAGGGATTTTCTAGAAAACAATAATTTAGCTAATATTTAAAATACATGATCATCAACACAAACAAATGTACCTCCTTGCTTTATTTTATTTTTAAAGTTCCCATTTTATTTCTTGTCATTTCAAGGCCCTAGATAAAGCTAATTGCTCATTGTTATAACATAGTGGGGTACTGTCAAAGCCATTAGGTTTGAGTGTGGTAGACTTTTTGACTCCTGCTGTGTCCACACAGAATTTTGGATTGAAGAAGTGGTCATTTTGCTTCGGCTTGGTTACCATCATAGAAAGAGGTCTTCCCACTGGCTTCTGCTCCCATTCCAGGCTTCCACTGCTTGCGACAATTTCTCGTGGCAACTCTTGTAACTTGCAGTGGCCAGGGCTGCTGGGAAGCAACTCTGTTCTCCATGCTCCTTCAGCAGCCTTTCTGCTCCATAGAGTTTCATGCTTATTGTGATCAAAGCTTCATCTCACCTGTCTGCCCTCACTGTGGCACAATACAGTAGAGAATAGAAACCATGTGAAGCATATCCAGTTTTCTATCTATATGTTTCTTCCTCAACCTCAGTCAGAAACTATCCTCATTGTCACTGTGTACCAGAGGATAGGAGGAACCTTGTGGAGCTCAGGGTTCCATATAACCAGTGTTTACAGGATACATGGAGCACAAGGAGTAGTTGAGTGGCACCACACCCTGAAGGTGAATTGGGCAAAGGGTGAGGAAGGAGAGTGACAAATTTAAAAACAACTTTTTGGTTGGGAAACCCACCTATGCAACAAGGATAGGGCAGAAAAGCATATGACTTCCCACAACATTGGCCTTTACCCTGATGGAAATCTTGTTTCCCCTCACTGTTAACTAGGAGTCCAGGAAATGTATCATACAGCATTGGGGATCTGGTTAGGGCTGCCTCTCTGCAGCTTCCTAGTGAATGTACCAGTGTAGGTGTATTAAGTATGGAGGCACCCCAACCAGTGCCCAGGTCAGGGGTGGGCAAAATGTGGCCCGCGGGCCAGATGCGGCCTCCCAGGCAATTCTATCCGACCCGCAGGGCCCCTAAAACTTTTAGAAAATTAATATTTATCTGCCCCTGGCTGCCTGTCATGTGGTCCTCGATGGCTTCCCAAAACTCAGTAAGCGGCTCTCTGCTCAAAATAATTGCCCGCCCCTGGTCTAGGTTGTCCTTTCCTGGAACGCTTCTAAGCCTGGTGATGGCAGGAAGGAGAAAAGTGGCTTGCTGGCCCCTACTGTTATTGTCTAGAGGCTCTTATTCTGGGGAACTTTGCATATTACCTATATCTGTTACATCAATGTACACAGCATCTGTATTTTGACTTGGTTTGGAAGTTTGTATCTCAGGGAAGCCCATAATCTCCACAAAAAAAAACCCTGTGAAGTATACTTAAGAATTTCAGCTTAACTACATCACTTCCATTCACTCACTGTCTGTTAGTTGCCCTACAAATGTGGGAGCCTTTCCAAGGATGAAAATACAGCTTTGTTGGGCATTTCAGCAGGGCACATGCTTCCTGCACAAACATGGGGGCTGGCAATAGAATCATTTTTTTGCTGGAATATAAGGGAAGATTCCTTTTAGAGAAAAGGGAAACAATGTAAGCCAAAGCAGCTGTCTGTAACTTATTATGGGCAGCTTTTACCATTGCATTCTTTCTGTCATCTGACATTTCTAAGTCATCTAGGGAAGCAGAAGAAAGGGCCACGCAAGTGCACTACAGACCACAGACGTACATGTGGGTGGAGTGCCATCTTTAGTTCCTGGAGACAGATCAAAGTGGTTGGGCTCAGTCAGTGATCTGTGGTATTGCCCATCAGTACTGAATGGCGTCTTGCAGTGGTTGATGAACATCCTACATAACTGTTGAGGGCTCCCTTTTTCTTCATGTGGATATTTCTTAAGATTAATTCCTGGACAACCCACACACCTCTTTTGTTTTCAAGGGTCAGCCCACAGGCAAGTTTTCTATTCATTATTCATTCTGCCACGGTTAGATTCCCATATGGCGATGTCCTGGGTCACTGGCAGATGACATTCAGCATGTTGCCAGGGGTACACCCAACCTAAAGGATGGTAGTGAATTGTGGACATAAATTTCTAATTATCTTTTTCTAGTGTATTGTAGAGGGATTCTAGAGGTGATCCCTTGGTTTGTTTGGATTTCTGACATAGAAATTTATGACTACCAGGAGGCAGGGCTTTCCTTTGGAATTCTATGAAGCTATGGACCCGATTGCCCACTAAAAGTCCAGGTCTGTAGGTTGGATCCAGCTTATGGTTTTAATCTGTGATGTGCATGCCAAACATAGGCACCTACCATCATCTACTGTGCAAACAAAATACCTGGCCTCAGAAACCATCAACCAATGGCTGGTTAAGGCCAAGTAGGACAGCTGGAATTAAGGAACTTTCAGAACTGGTTCTTTTCCAGCTTGGTTTCAGAAGATCATACATTGGGGGATTAGCAAACAAACTTTTCCATTAAGTAGACAGATAAATGCTTTGCTCAATGATTATTTGCTCATCCATCCATACTTTTCCTGATGTGCATTCTTTGTTTGAATTATTTTCAGTGACAGGCTGAGTGATGCCTGGTGAACAATTTATTAATGGAAATTTATTAATGGCTAGTAGTTCTTAGTAGAGGGTCAGGAACCATCAAGAAGTATAACCAGCTGATGGGTGGGAATTCATGGCCACCAAATCATAAGGGAACTAGATGACCTGGGAATCCACCCTTGACATGGATTATAGATAAGCCTGTAATGATACATGGACAGAATTTTGACTGCAGGAAAGTACAGTCACTCACAGCCCAGATGATGGGCTATCCTTTAACAGATTTACATAATAAACCTGCTTGCTCTCCTACTGGATACACCAGTGTAAACAGTACTTAGATGGAAGGAACCTATGGGAAGCTGTAAATTTTCTGTGTGGAATTTCTTATCAAGTTCTTTAACTTCGTGTGCGCCTTTCACTTGGGCATTTAAGCAATAATGAGATAAAGTTGTCAAGAACAGTAGGCATTTAATATTACCCATATAATTTGTTCTGTTGTTTGTTATAATAAAGATAATTAAAATAGAAATGACAGCTCTAATTTGTCAGGCTGAATTCAACCTTGAAGCAGAGTCCAAAGGCCAAACTGTCCCTTATTCTAGGTTAGAGTAGCATAAGCTTATAGACTAGAAAACCCTTCTTGCTATGTATTATAGAGAAAGTGTCTTTTAAATTAAATATTCAAATCAGAATTCACTTTAGAAAAGTGGCTCACTGACCATTTTATATCTACTTTATAAGACAAAATGCAGCATTTGGAGTCAGACCTTATCATCACTGATTTCAGTGTGGAAAACTATGCTTCCAAACTTATGGCACAATAAGGCTCATGGTGCATTAATTCTTCACTAACATACCCAACCAGTAAAAAATATATACAAATAATGAACAGGGTTTTCAATCAA